TTATGAGGAAACAATATCTAGTAAGGAATCTACTAAGTGGCTTGCACTAATGCAAGATGAAATTGACTCCTTACATAAAAAATCAGACTTCGACCCTAGTGAATAAACCTGTTGAATGAAAACTTGTTGACTGCAAATGGGTCTATAAAATTAAAGAGGGGACATAAAATCTTGTGATAAAAGATATAAGGTAAGCCTTGTAGCAAAAAGCTTTAAACCGAAAAGAATGGATAGATTATACTAAAACAATTTCACCTATTGTGAAATATACTTATATTAGAATTCCGTTTGCCCTTGTCACACAATTTGATTTAAAATTAGAAAAACTTGATGTGAAAACATTTTTTTAAATATGGTTATCTAGATTAAACTATATATATGACTCAACCAAAAGATCTTGCAAATTAGAGAAAGAAAAACTTAGTGTCTTTTGAATAAATCTTTATATGGTTTAAAACAAACTCCAAGACAATGGTATAAGAGATTTGATTCTTTTATACAAGGACCGAAGTTTAATAAACCTGACTATGATACTTGTTTTTATTATAAAAGAAATGGAAAATTTGAGGTTTTCTACTTGCTTTTATATGTTGATGACATAATTTTGTTACTTTTAATTCTACAAAAGAAAAAAATTAAAATTTAGATTTGAAATGAACCTCCTAGAAAAATATTAAGAACGAAGATAAAAAGAGATGATAAATGAAAAACCGTTTTTAACACAAGTGTCTTATATTGGTAAAGTAATTAAGAGATTTTCTTTGGATGATTCTAAATATGTTGGTTTGCCTATATCTGGTTATATGAAATTATCTAGTCATCAGTCACCTAAAATTAAAATGAACTTAATGGAATGGTAAATGTACCTTATACTAATGTAGTTGGATCAGTAATGTAGGTTATAGTATGCTCTGGACCTGATACTGCCTAATGTTGTAAGTGTGTTAAGTAGAATCATGGGTAATCTGGGTGAGCTTCATTAGGAAGTCACGAAACATTTGATTAAGTACTTGAAAGGTACACAACATTTAGGACTCAAGTTTTAAACTAATAAAAATGGTTTTAATTTGAAAGGATAATGTTGACTCTGACTTTGTTGGAATTCAGATAATAGAAAGTCAACAAGTGCATACTCTTATGTGATAAATGGTACATGCATTAATTGAAAATCGCAACGTCAAAAATTGGTTACTTTGACTGAATATATTGCTGCCACTAAGGCAGTTGAGGAAGGGTTTGGTTGAAAGGTTTGTTAAATGAATTAGGTTTTGTAGAAAATTAGGTAGATCTTTGTTCACACAGTCAAAATGCTATTTTCTCAAGTAAAAGTCCTATTTTTCAAGATAGAATTTCATTAGAGATGTTAACCGAAGAATGTAATATTAAGGTAAATCCAGCTGATCTAGTTACAAAAGTAATACCTTTAACTAAATTCAAAGATTCTTTGAGATTATTAAATCTTGAAGTTTACTAATTTTTTCTTGTCTTTGTGAATAGGTAAATAAAAG